TTCCAATGGCATTTTTCACATAAATAAAAAAGACAATTCTACCATTCACATGGAACTACAAAAGACCATTAATAGCCAAAACAATTTTGAAACAGAAGGACAAAGCTGGAGACATCACATTTCCTGATTTCAGGCTATACTGCAAAGCTATAGTAATCAAAACAGTATGATACTGACATAAAAACAGACCCATAGATCAATGGAACAGAATAGAGAGCCCAGAAATTTACCCATGCATTTTTGGTCAATTAATTTTTAATAAAGGAGCCAAGGACATACATTGGGGAAAGGATAATCTCTTCAATAAATGGTGTTGGGAAAACTGGATAACCACATGCAAAAGAATGAAACTGGACCCCTATCTTACACCATCCACAAAACTTTACTTGAAATAGATTAAAGACTTAAATAGAAGACCTGAAACTGTAAAATTCCTAGAAGAAAATAGGGAAAAACTCCTTGACATTGGTCTTGGCAATGATTTTTGAGATAGGACACCAAAAACACAGGCAACAAAAGCAAAATAAAACAAGTAGGATTACATCAAATCATGATAATTATTGTTCTAACCTGATATTTTACGAAAGAGGTAGGAAACCTGAAGGTCAGAAGCCTTCAAAATGTAATACTTGGAGCTTTTCCTCGGGAGTTAAGGAATTTAGCTCCAAAGACATTTATGCTTATAGAAAAGTCCTTGAATCCAAATGTATACTTAGTGAGTGTAGTAAGATAATAGAAACAGCTCAAAATCTGCTCCAGATTCCCCTCCAGATAAAGGAAATACCACATTATTCCTCAATAAGGAGGAAGTGCTGCAAGAGTTCAAAATGTCTTGTTTTTATAATATTAGAGTACAGTGTAGAATGCCAGGAAACTGTAATCAAAAATAAAAAACAGGGGCTTCCCTGGTGGCGCACTGGTTGAGAGTCCGCCTGCCGATGCAGGGGACACGAGTTCGTGCCCCGGTTCGGGAAGATCCCACATGCCGCGGAGCAGCTGGGCCCGTGAGCCATGGCCGCTGAGCCTGCACGTCCGGAGCCTGTGCTCCGCAACGCGAGAGCCACAACAGGGAGAGGCCCACATACCGTTAAAAAAAAAAAAAAAAAACCCTGCAGATCCATGGTCATTTTTTCCTAAAAAGTTGGTTGACATATATACAGTCCTGAATTTAAGCACATTTAACAGGCCTGCATATTTTGTTAGATCATACCATGGTTCTCAAAAATATGCTCATGACAGATCTGTTGTAATCTGAAAATAAGAGTTTACTCAGAGAAGATTTGAAAGTGGGCAGAGTATTTCAAAGTAATAATATCTGAAAAAACTTGGATTGTATAGTAAAATCATTCCTTAACTGTTCATTCAGTTGGTTTCAGTTACTGTTTTATGTTTAACTCTTGGCTTTTGGTAAACGTCCTTAGTCCCATAAGTCGGGCTCACCATTGAATAAGAGGAGGGGAATCATGTTTAGGGTGCACCCGATCTAGTTGCATGAAACTGATGCTTTCCACAGGAGTGTTGCCCATATCGCCTTGTAACACCAACTAGTATGAGAGATTTTCAGTGATAGTTGGAACTTTTTTTTTTTTTCTGTTAATACTTGTATTGGGGGGAAAATGTAATCAGCATATCAAACCCATTTATCAAATAAAGTTATCATTTAAATTTATGTTAAGTTAAAAAAAGTGAGTCAATGAAGGAAAATATCTAGTAAGTAATGGTATAGATGGTATAGAGATGCCAGTATGGCAGAGTTGTAGAGGTTGTGTCCAGATACCTGAAGTTTAGGAAACATCATACTGCACAGTGGTTTGATTCAACCAAATGTATACGGTTGGATGACCTCAGTGAACATAAACATTTGTGGTACAGTCCTTTGAAATGTTGTGGTGACAATAGTCCAACAGAGGTTTATACAACACTATACAATTTAGTGCATTGGAGAAATGCTAGAAATCATAGCAGCTTCTAGATTAAATGCATGCTCTTCAAAGCCATCCAGACAAGTGCCTCATGGTTCCTAAAGTCCACTCTCCTCAGATTCAGGCATCCACGTTAGCCATCTTATACACTATCATATATTTGTATACTAACAGGAATGTTTGGTGTTGGGAGCAGAGCTATATCCCTCCATTCTGAGAAGCTTTTCAGAAGAAAATTATGTGATAGTCAACATATAAAACATTATTTAAGAAATTTCCCTGTGACTCCAATAAAGATGTGAAAAAAAAAAAATTTCCGTGAAAAAATTGCCTTAGGATGGAGAAAACACTGTAATATTGAGCAAGTATTATTAGGGTTTTTGAAAATTATTATTATTTTGTCACTACCATTTTTTTAGCACTTTTAAAATATTTATTAAATTTAATTAATTAATTATTTATTTTTGGCTGTGTCAGGTCTTAGTTGCCGTTGAGGATCTTCGTTGAGGCATGTGGGCTCTTTTGTTGTGGTACTCGGGTTCTTCGTTGCAGCATACAGGCTTCTCTCTAGTTGTGGCGCCAGAGTGCGTGGTTTCTGTAGTTTGTGGCACACGGGCTCTCTAGTTGAGGCAAGCAGGCACAGTAGTTGTGGCACACGAGCTTAGTTGCCCCTTGGCATGTGGGATCTTAGTTCCCCAACCAGGGATCGAACCCACGTCTCCTGCATTGGAAGGCAGATTCTTTACCACTGGACCACCAGGGAAGTCCCCTGTCACTACCTTAAATGTTAGGGGTAAGAGCAAAAGTAAAAATTTCAATCTCCATGGCCTGGTACACTTGTGTATCTGTCTTTTTCTGTAATGGCAACCTTGAAGTAGGGATCCAGGAAGCTTTGAATCTTCTGGTTAGTCTCATATGTTGTCAGATTCCCCACTACTTAAACTCAGTTTCTTTGGGCACAGGGATGATATATTAGTCATTATGGGACTGTTACACAGTGTTTAGGAGATACCCAACAAGTGGGCTAGGATTTTCAGAGATAGATTCTTGGAATACGTGTAACACTGAGCAGCACACAGGACAGCACTAACCTAAAGAGGTTAAAGATGTGTTTGTGACACAGGGAAGGGAGTGCCGCTGAGCTAAGTAATCTCACTGGGACAGACAGCCTTCTGGGGGATGGTGGAACACAGGACTGACTATTTCGGGAGAGTTTAACACACAACATTCAGACATTACCTTTTGTGATCACTGTTATTTTCTTTCTGAAACGACAATTAGAAGATATTTGCTGGACCTTTTTGCATGATAGAGAACAGTGCTTCAAATAAGTAATAGTAGTTGGTTACTTTTACTCAGTCTGGGGTTTTTTTGTTCCCCACATTAAAATTCCAAGAAAAAAAGATAAACCTCTTTTTGTAAGCCCCCTCCCTCTGAAAAATGAGTAGTTCCCTCAGCTTTCTTTTGAATTTCTGAAAGTATGTGATCGGTTAACCTGCCTTAAAGTGGCAGCAACACGTTAAACACGGAACAGAGCCAAGAACCCATGAAGGTCCCTGAATAGTCATAGGAAAACTGAAAAGCTTAAGGAGATAACTATATGTCAAGCAATTTATTGGTATTTACCTGAAGAGGGCTGAGGATCACTCAGAGGAGACTCAATACTAAATGCACCTTGAAGTGTGACCAGGGGAGGAGCTGAAGTGTTTGTTGTAATGAGCAGCCAGAGGTCTGGCGGGATGCCTTACTACATTAATTTTCCAAGTCCTTTGGGTGGGTCACAATTGCGCTAAAACATCCTGCCTGCAAATGCTAAATAAATGCCAAGTTCACGTCAGACTAGAGAACCAACGTACTAACTAATGTCATTTAAGAAATCAGAACGCTTAAATTATTTTTCACTTGATAGTTCACATCCAAAATAGCTGAAGTTGCCGCACCCAGAGAAATATATAGCCTCGGTGCAAATGTTTAGAGGCATGGGGAGGGAGGTCAAATCCTCTTCTCTTAGAAGCAATTTGAATTGTTTTGTTTGTTTGTTTTTTGTGTGTTTTTAAAAATTTTATTGGAGTATAGTTGATTTGCAATGTCATGCTAGTTTCAGGTGTACAGCAAAGTGATTCAGTTATACATATACATATTTATTCTTTTTCAGATTCTTATCCCATATAAATTATTACAGAATATTGAGTAGAGTTCCCTGTGCTATACAGTAGGTCCTTGTTGGTTATCTATTTATATACAGTAGTGTGTATATGTTAATCCCAAGCTCCTAATTTATCCCTCCCCCCAACGTTTCCCCTTTGGTAACCATAAGTTTGTTTTCAAAATGGGTAGGTTTAATTATGTTTATTATAATAGAAAAGTTTTTATTTCAGATGTAGGAGGTGGGGCAGGGATTGGTCTTCACAATAAGAGATATTGAGGTGATATGATATAAGCTTCATTCCTTACTGAAGAACTGTTAGGAATTTGCAAACCCAGAGTCTTGGTATATATAAATCAATGAAATTTGCATATGATTTTCAAAATGAAATAAGGTTTAGAAAACATTGTGCAAGGAAACAGCCTCAGTACATGTAGTCACTTGTCCAGCAGAAATTCATTAGATTTTTCACTTTAAACATCACAGCATGACCTGATGCAACGCTGCCTGCTACATTCTGTTGGATTTTTAAGAGGCAGTTTGTGTCTCTACAACCAAACCCAAAGCGTGACATTTCATTAAATGTGCTCAAAATGAACAGCTGCTAAGTTCCCCAAGTCCTCTCAACTTTGCTTTTGACTAGAAATTTTAGTTTTCAGCGCCAGACTTTGAGAAAATGATTTTTTTTTTTTTTTTTTTTTGAGGGAGGATAAACAAGTCTGTGAAAAGGGGTGTGTTCCTTATGAAGGTGCTCAGGGAATCTTACCCTGAATAACAGACAAGGAAATGGTTTTATAAATTTTGAGGTGTCTTCCGCCTGCTTGGCTGGTTTACACTCCAGGTCTCTGGTGCTGATCTACAGCGAAGCTTTATAAGTTTCAGCAATTGACGAGCCTGGCTGGGCGCCAGGTCTTTTTTTTTTTTTTCCACCCTCTCACTTCCCTACGATGTTTTGAACTGCCTTCCTACAGACGTCATACAGCCCTTGAGGAATAGTTTCTGCCTGGTGAGACTGAATGATAGTTCTCATTCACAAAGGCTTGGAGTCAGATTCTAAGCAGGGGACACAACGGAAATTACGTTCACAGGTACAGCAGCGAGCCCAGCTCAACTGTGGAGAGCTTTGTACCCTCCATGACTTATTGGCTCCCCCCGGAGAGGAGTGTTTTCCTGTGGTCGCCCTGAAATGGAACTTCACTGACAGCTCTGTGGTGTTACTGTACCTCGCGGTCATTTTCGTTTCCTTTCTCTCTACCTGAGCACTTTTAGAGTGTCAGAAAGCTTTAAACCTTTTATTGCGGAATTGTAAAAAGGATGCGATCAAGGGGCTCTTTCACTGTGTTGGTTACCCTTGTGACCAGATGAAGAATAGATTCAAAATCCAGTTCCTCCCTTGGCAATGCAAAACAGAAAACAAACTGTCACTTAAGAACAGCCCGGTGCTGGCGTAAATTCAGTATGAAAGAGGAAAGAGCTCCTATGTCTTAGAAGCCTCCCTCTGTTCTGGACTGGGGGCAGGAGTTGGACTCCGGGAAATTTGGATTTCTTCAAACAACCTCCTTTGGAAATGGAGTATACTTCAAGCCATCTTTGTCAAAACACAGCTGAAATGTATTAATCAGAATACTTGAAGATTTTTTCTTTCTTTTTTTTTCCTCCAAAATGAGCATTATTATGAAGCCAAGATCCCGGTCTACAAGTTCCCTGAGGACTTCGGAGGGAGTGTGGTAACGTGCTTTTCTCTCCTGCTTCTCCCCTTCTTTCCTTTTAAGATTGACTTAATAGTGGAGTATTTAGTAATTGCTGACTCGGAGGTTCAAGAGTTAAGTGTGATGTTAAGGCTTTGTAAGAAAGAGCACACTGTTGGTGACACTTTCATTCTCTATTTTGTGCCTGATTTTGTCTGTTTTAAAAACAGTGGTGCTCACACTTTTTTTTTTAACTCCACGTGGACCATAGCAATGCATCTGGTGACAATTTTTAGAAGAGGAAGGAAACTTGCAAAAAACGTTGGGAGTTTAGAAAATGAAAACTTGTCATTTCTCACTGCCTGATCAGGCTGTGTGTTTTCTTATCTTTCTTGCCTTATGCAAGCAGGCTGGTAGTTGACAGTCTTTGCCATGGTCTTTAAAAGTAGTACCTTGGCTTTTAGCACGTGTGTTAGCGTAATTAATAACGTCATATATTTTAATCATATGAACCAAGTTGAATTTAACTATGACTAAATGTATATCAAGTTGCTTATCATTCAGGAATCTCCTACGTTTTATTTTGTTAATATAGTGTTCCCTGATAATTATGTTTTTTGGTAATTTTAGTGTTTTCATCCTAACAAAAAGTATGTTAATTTCAATTTATTGCAATATTTAATTCTACTGTTTCCTCAATATTGTTTGATGTGGTCATACACACGTGGTCCTTAAGGAATAGTTTCTCAATAAAGTAATTTTTGTGTCTGAAATAGTTATTTACAAAAATATTTTTATGGCTGTTTCAGAGGTTAATTTTACTTTGTTTATCTTAGTGATTGATTGTAAATAAATAAATAAGCTCACTTTTTGAAATGGAAATAGTCCTTCAGACAGGAGAATTAAAAGCAATGATTGAAGGCAGGTGTTGGGGATAGGATGGAAGCAGGCAGGTAAAATGTATTACCTATAATTATGTGAGCAGGCAAATACACAAATAAATACTTACGTTATTTGCATAAGGAATTCAGTCCACATTTATGTGATTGGGTTATCATTTGCTGTTATTGTACTAGTGTTTTATAGGGGACTAGAATCAAGAGTTGTCCCTTCAGTGGTATTTCTGTGAGTTTTAATAAACTATAGATGCAGATTTCATCTCGTATCACTTGTGATCTTTTAAATAAATATGTACAATAAATTCCTCCTTGAGTTTATTTAAAGAAAAGGTTGCATCTGCAAACAAATTTGTATGGCTCTTTTATGCCAAGTAATAAATACTGGGAAATACTTAGAAACCTTCTATTAGTTACCATAGCTAATATAAATCTCTAATATAAATGGGTGATCAGAATTTATAAAATTCACCTGTGATTTCTATCCTCTTATATGTGAATAAACAGTATTTAACCAACCTATTTCTTATTTTTGCCTAAAATGCTGGGAGACATTTCCAAATTCAGGGTTCAATCAATCAGTAACAGTTCATTTCAGGAGTCTAGTAACATTGACATCCTTTACTCCTCCGAGAGTGTCATGGTCTGTTTTTTTCCACAACTATTCTATTTTATTATTCTAAATTATAAACGGTATCATCATAGATAAATAGGGCCACAATTCGAAGTATATTTTTAAAAATATTGATTTATGAACGTGTATATTGTTCCATTTAATTTTAAATAGTTTGCGTAGTCTTTGGGTCAGAATGGTGTTTATGTAAGAAATAAATGTCTCTCTTTATGCTGATGATTCCTAATGGCACACTACGGAAACTCCCAGTTATTAATCTTACATCTGTCTTATTAATAATGTAACTGTTTAGGTATATCACTGCTACCTCCAAATCATTTGACCTGAGATTGTAATTGCTGTAATTAGTTTAACTGTTTTATTATCCCTTTTATCATTCAAATTCTATGCACACATTTATTTATTTATATTTATATTTTTAAATAGTAGAATCTACATAGATTATATATCAGGTGTCTAGAGGAAATATACATGTGTATGTGTATACGTATACATCTGATTAGGAGATTACATGGCAAACTCCTAATGATACTATATACCCTTCCTCTTAATTCATCTGCTTAAAAAACACGCCTTACTTATAGTTAAAATTCTATTAATTTCCAAAAATAAGATTAAAATAATCCTGAAATTAATCTGTTTCCTGATTATATAATATTGTAAATATATATAAATTTAAAGTATTATATAACAAGAATATATACTAGGTAGCTTTTAGCACATCTTTTTTTTTTTTAACACCTTTATTGGAGTATAATTGCTTTACAGTGGTGTGTTAGTTTCTGCTGTATAACAAAGTGAATCAGCTATACGTATACATATATCCCCATATCTCCTCCCTCTTGTGTCTCCCTCCCACCCTCCCTATCCCACTCCTCTAGGTGGTCACAAAGCACCGAGCTGATCTCCCTGTAGCACATCTTTATATGTGTAGATGTCTTTATATGTGGTAAACCACAATTCGCTCAGTGTCTAAAGTGTGGCAGATAAGCATTCCAATACTGTACAGATGTGATTTTCTGAATAACATTGCTTCTCAGATCAATAAATGATTTCTCTTTTCTATTAACTCTCTCCTCCTAAGGTTATAAAAGTTCGGGCTGGCTGAGAATTCTTATTTTGGCCTCATGATCATAGTAAGAGTATTTGAGTAGACTAAAACTACTAGTTTTCTAATTGAGAATAAAAAGATGTAACAACAATAATATTTTGGAGGGAAAATTACTTATAACCCCCACTGTCCCATCCTCAACTATTCTCGTTTTTCACTTAACTTACATATCTTGAACAGTTGTAAATTCTGTGCTCTGCTTCTTCATTTACATGTCAGCGTGTACTTTTGTAAGAATAATACTTCTAGCTTTCATTTTATTGAGTATCTCTTATGAATGTGGACTCTGTAGAGAATTTTACATACAGTATCTTGTTCAGTCCTTATAACAAAATTGAAAGGAAGCAGTTGTTAACCCATATTTTACAGATGAAGAAATGAACCTAAGGGATAAAGTAACTTGAACAAGGCCCTTTAACTGCCAGGGAGGGCTGGGATTGAACCCAAGAAGCACTGCTCTTTTTATTTCAGCATGTTGCCTCCCTCTGCTGTCTATCTAACTATCATTTTTAATGACTAAAATTATTCATCTTGTGACTATATCTAAATGCACTAAATATTTGGTTAGATATTGGGCTATTAAAGAAGTAAATTGGAAGTTGTCTTTTGATAGGTATGATAGCCTACAAAGTTTAAGGCTGATGTTGGGCATTGAAAAATGACTATTTGAAAAACTTTTGTAATTATTTTCTACTGGTAGCAAAGAAGGTTCTCTATTCCCTATTAAAGAGAAATAAGAAGCAAAAGTCAGTGCTTCTCAGTTCTGAATAAATAGATCATCTTTCCAATTACATTAGGAAGTTTTACTTTGTTCTCTGCAAGCTCTGTAAGGCTTCAGGTAAGAAACAAGTACTATGTCTCAGACTTCGTATGAAGTTTCATACTGTTTTAAGTCAGCTTTGAAAAAGGTACAAAATCTTCCTTTTTACATCTTTCATCTTACAGGCTTTTGTAAATGGGAAGACAAATGGAATTTGCATACTTTCTGCCTGTTCAGTATACACTGACTTGGCTTAGGGAAGTGACTATTTTCAAGATTGGTTCAGAGTTTTGAACCTGCAATAAACTTTTTTGATCCTATTACCTAAGTTTGTATCATATCTGGTATATAATACACCTAGAGATAAACAGCTTTGAAGAGAAGTGGTTAAGATACCTTGAATATTATTTAAAACATAAAAAATGTTTTAATGCCAGGGAAGCACAGAGTAGATCACAGGTAGGTTTACTCTTCAAAGTCATGAATTGTGAAATTCTCTGAGAAAGCCATTTGTCCACTCTACATCTAACTTGCTTTGTGTCCCTGGAGAAGCCACCTAGTCCCTCTATAGCCAGGTTTACTCACCTGTCAAATAAAGGGAATGAGCTAGATCAGTGAATTTCAAACATGTATTTTCAATGAACACTTTTTACAAATGATATGCTAATATAAATAAGGAAATGTGTACAAAACATTTAAAATTATATGTTTATATTTGGTATATAGAGATAAATTTTTTAAAAAGTATATATGTATGGTACATATAAGTAAAAATCTATAAACATACATATAACAATAAAACAGCCACTGAGTTAGCACCTTTACTCCCCACTCTTGCAGTACCTTTAAAGAGCTTTTTTGAAAACCACTTTGCTAATAAACTACTATGATCCTTTATAGTTCTACTTTCTGTAGTGTTACACTGCTACTGGAGAGTCGTTTGTGTTTTCCGTATCCCTTTGTGGACTGGGATAAACTTGCTGGTAATTAAACTTTCTGGGAAGTTCAAATAACAACAGTTCAAAGACTTGAAAGACTTTAACGTTAGGGGAAAAATTCTCATTTCTGGGAAATCACAGAAGAGTTATAGTTAAGATCCATTCATTTTATTTAGCATCTTCTTATTTTTTACAAATTTATTTTAAACTTGTTTTGGGCAGGAAAATATTTGTTTATTACATATACAGATAGTGGACGTCAGGAATACAGCATGGCAGTTGATAAAGAGATGCTGAATTGGTACTGAGTTGTTTAGAAGAAAGGTGTTTCTTTAGTTTGGGTATTGACAAAATGGGGTTTTCAACCACTTTTTCTATCATGTCACTGGTGACTAAAGGTCATAGGTTAAATTGCCCTGTGCAGCACTCTCCTTAGCTACACTGCAGTCTGTAGACTCCACATGAATAGAACTGGCTGTGGTTATGTGTGCAGCAACACTTACTCCGACCTGTAACTCTACTCTTTTCTTCCCCAACACCATGGTGTTGGCCCCATCACTAAAACCTACCTTTCAGCATAGGTTTTTACCTAACAAGGTCTTATTAGTCCCTCTGTCAGTCATTCCAATCATGTAGTGAATTTTCTCAGAAGGAGTGAAGATATGAAGGTAATCATGGGTATAGGAGTAGTTAGTCATGG